CTGTTATCGTACAAATTACATCTTTGTACTCCTATGCCCATCAATGCAGATTTGTCATTATTGCTTTATGCACTTCTCTTCTTGATTAAAGAAGAGCACTAAAGGCAGACACTACGTTGATGTCTCTTTCCCCATAGTTAGCGCCACCATTGCTCTTGTTCAGCTGGACTGGAGTTACTTCCCAGTGTCCTTTCTTCTCGGTCTGAGGACTCCCTCTAGGATTTCTCACAGGGAAGATCTTAACTTTTTTTCTTTAGTTTTTAATTTTTAAAAACAATGTTTAATGGAAGAGGAGAAACCATGCCCAGCCTCCCAGCCACTTCAGTACCCCGGGATGGGGAAGAGTCACTGGATGGCATCCCAGAGTCCCCACTGTGGAGTATTTCCGAGGGTTCTGCTCATGTGGTTTCAATAGTTCTGAAATGCTGTTGATATGGCTGCTCCAAAGATGAGGGAAATCCGTTTGAGGTTAACTGGCTGACATAGTCCACCTCCGAGTCTCCATTCACCCAGAAATTTGCTGTCAAGCTTCTCTGGGGTAGTTGATCCATTTCTTCTGCTCTCCTCCCTCTGTAAATCAATGGGTGCCCCAGCCCAGCCCTGCCCATCACGTGCTCAGCGTTCACATACACACGTGCAGCCCACTCAGAGCAACCCCCGGTAACCCCCACTGGCCAAGTCCCCAGCTCTGGCTCCTGTGTCTGCCAGCAAGTGCAGTGTACTGGTCCAGACTGCCCCACAACCCATTCAGATCTTGTATATATCACTGGGCATTGAAGCCTAACTCAACTGACTCCACCCTCCAGCCAACATTGATGCCAGTGGGTGCCACTGCCTGTCCAGTCAGGCTGGCCCCAAACCTGGTTCTCATGCTCACCGATGGAAGCCGCAGCTCATCAGAGAGGTGTCCACAGCCTCCCCACTGGACCCAATCCCTGCCCTGGATCTTGCCTTCTCCAGATGGTTCTGCAGTCTAGTTCGACAGGACTTGCTCCCTGTCCCAGCTTTTACCTGCTGCTACTGCGCCAAAGCTCTATCTGCCAGGGCAGATCTTCTAGAATGGAAGTCCATTAATTTTGGTTTATTTTTGTCTTTACTTTTAAAAATTGTTTTAATTTGAAAGGCAGTTACAGACAGAGTAGGAGAGACAGAGCTCTTTCATCCACTGGTTCACTTGGCCAGCACTGCACCAGTCTGAAGCCAGGAGCTTCTTCCAGGTCTCCCATGCAGGTGCAGGGTCCCAATGCTTTGGGCCGTCCTCTACTGCTTTCCCAGGCCACAAGCAGGGAGCTGGATGGGAAGTGGAGCAGCTGAGACTCGATCCAGAAGCTATAGGGAAAGGAGAACTGAAGCCGGAAGTTTAACTTGCTAGGCTGCAACACCAGCCCCACTTCTGTCTTCACGTTTGGAGGACAGCTTTTCTGCCTTCTTGGTCAAGACCATCCTTTTCTTTAGCCACGTCAGCTGTCCTCTGCCCTCCAGATGCCAATGAGAATTTGGCTGTTACTTTTATGAGGGTCCCGTGTATGTGATGCATCTCTCTCCCCTGCTGTTCACGAGACTCCATCCTGTACCTTCGGTGGTTGATTACATGGCTAAGGAATGACTGAGTTTACCGTGCTGGGAGTTCGCTGGGCTTTGAACACCTCACACTGCCAGTTGATTTTTGTCCCACAAGTCCTAAGCATCAGCAGGTCCTGATAAACTGTATATCCAATATTTTCTGCATCCTCCCACTTCTGACTGCTCTGCAACTGCCCTCATCCAAACTGCCATACTCCCCTGCTTGCACCACTTGGAGCAAGATCTGAACTCCAGCCCTCGGTGACCTCTCGCTGCCCCGCTCGGCAGTGAACAGAGCCAGTCGCTAGCTGCTGCGGCTCAGCAACTTCCAAGCTCAGCCAAACCCAGGGCTCTCCCCTCAGCTCTCTTTGGTTCACCCCAAGGTTAGTTCCTTCTCTGCCATCAGGATGCAGCTTATACGTCACCCCTAGTTATGCCCTGTCACATCACCAATACTTTTCTTATTTGTATATTTGTTTTTCTAGTTCCACTGAAATGAACCTTGGACTGTGGTGGGGTACATTGTGGTACAGTAGAGGTAAGTCTGCAATGCTGGCACTCCATATCTGAGTATTGGTTCTGGTTCTGGAGCCCGGATTCTGATTTGGCTCCTTGTTCATGTGGCTGGGGAATCAATGGATGATGGCTTAACTTACTGGAATTCCTGGCTCCCAGTTTTAGTGCGCTTTGGGTTATTATAACCATTGTGGAGTAAACAAGTGGATGGAAGATGTGTGTGACACTGCATTTCAATTAATACACCTTTGGGGGGGGTGGTGCATAGGGCCTGGCGTAGTAGCTTAGTGGCTAAAGTTCTTGCCTCGCATGCGCCAAGATTCCATATGGGTGCTGATTCGGATCCCGGCAGCCCTGCTTCTCATCCAACTCCCTGCCTGTTGCCTGGGAAAGCAGTCAAGAAAGGCCCAAAGCCTTGGGACCCTGCACCGGCGTGGGAGACCCGGAAGAGGCTCCGGGCTCTCAGCTCCAGCCATTGTGGTCACTTGGGGAGTGAATGAGGATGGAAGATCTTCCTCTCTGTCTATCCTCCTCTCTGTATATCTGACTTTGCAATAAGAATAAATTTTTTAAGGGCAATATGGCTATGTTATTCACTGTTGAACCTCCAGTGCTCTGTGCAGGTGCCCAAATACTTGTTGGTAGAATACACAGTAATCCCAGCAGTCAACAGGAAGATGTATTTTTTTTTTCTAGAACCTTCCATATTAGGAGAGTTGGTATTACAGCCCTTGTGTATGTGAAGGATCCTGGCTTGTGTTCCCCACCAGAAGAGATCTGGGCCCATGCTGCCTTTGTTTTAGCTGCATCACTTTATCACTTTTTCAATTCATTAATCATTGATCACTCAGCTACAGTTTCCATGACAACCTCTAACCATTCAGAATATTCCACCAACCAGGAGGACACCTTTCTTGGAGAACCCAATTCACTGTATGAGGACTCTTCTAGCCTCAGGCAAAGGGTGAGGATCTCGAAGGGGGAAACTGAGGCCAAGAATGTCCTTGAGAGAGGCAAATCAAGGAATAAAGAACACGCTGAGTCCCAGATTCGCTCCGGCACACATGTGCTAAGGATGGGCTTGTCACCTTTCCAGGGCAGAAGGAAGAGCTGGCATCCTCCTCACCCAGGGCACTGACATGGAATGGCTCTCCCACTAGCTCTGAATCTTCTGCATCTTCAAAGCCCCAGGGCAGAGAATCCAGCTTAAGGTCATGCTCACCCCAGCACTAACAATGCTGTGATTCCTGCCAGTGCACAACTCACCCCATTGAAAAACCAGCTCCAGAAACGCACGTGAACCAAAGACTCCACCCTCCAGCAGCCTCAGCACGGTCTGCATCTGTCACTCTGTGGTAGGGAGCACCAAGATGAGACTGGCATCGCTATTTGGGAAAGGGACAAAATGTTGTACTGCACAACTGCCAAGATAAAGAGATACAGTGGAAAAGTACTGGGGGAGCCGGGGACAGAGGGAACTGGGTCCCCAATCTTTGTGGAGCTGGTGGTATTATGGCACCAGCTGGCCAGGAGTGTGGGGGATGGGACACAGCAGCACGAGGTCCCTCAGTGTGACTCAGCAAGTAGCTTTCATTCCAGCTCTGCCCTTGATCAGCTGTGAGATGCAAAACCAGCTTTTGTTGCTCTGTAAACCAGATTTGCTCCTTCAGGTGGCTGTCAGGAGGATTTCATGAGATTCTACTGAGTGCTGGCAAGGAGTAGGTGCTGAGATGATGGCCTCCTGCCTGGAGGTCGCCGAGTCCTCTAGGATCAGCCAGGGCCTGGTCCTGAGAACGGATGGGACATCACCTTCCTGCCAGCATCCCCTGCTTCCCAAGCCCATAGGACACAGCGATCAAGTCCTGGCAAACAGCAGTTCTCCTCTGACTACACAGCCCCAGCCCGGCAGACACGCACACCAGAGCATCTTCCGATGCACTTTAATTAAAACTCCATTGTCAGAAGAGCCTGCGTGTCACACAATGTCAGATGAACGCACTGGGTCCTACAAATGGGATTCCCACAGATCTGCACTTCAAACATGTATGAAAAATAAAATATATAATATTTAGCTTTATAAATTTCCCCCACTTCATCACTTCGTCAGTGACCACCTCTGTCTCACCAGCAACCTAGAGTCACCAGGGAAGCATCAGCTAAGGATCTCCACTTGTGATTGCTGTTTTCTAGAAAGTTCTGGGGGAAAATACCTGATGGGTAGAGTCAAAGGCTCACAGGAATAGATCTGAATTAAAAACTAGCACACTTGTCACAGTGGTGAAACATCAAAATGGGAGGCTTTGGACGGGCTGCTCCTTTCCACTGGGCAACGCCAGTCCCCGGAACTGCATGGAATGGCTGTGAAGAGCTGCAACTGAACTTTTGGCACCACATGAGGAGAGAGAGGCCTCTCAAAGCCAAACCTAATGATGAGTCAGTCAAAGCACAGTTTGGGAGGAGGAAGGGAAGTGCGGCCAGGAGCTCTCCAGGCAGGCGGGCTTTGTCCAGGCAGCTCGGTCTCAGCCGGCTCGAGCCTCCCCTGGACACACACAGAGCATGGACAGACTGCCGCGTGCTCAGACGACAGCAGGGACACACCCAGCATACAGGGAACGTGGCTACTCCAGCAGGCCGGCTGCAGCCATCAAAGGGACCGACAGAGGCGCACATTGGGGGGAACACGAAGAATCTGAAAGGGCAGGCAGGGCCAGGCTGCACAAGCAGAGGGTGTCTGAACGGGGGCACAAGGGGCCCCCGCCTTCTCACAACAGGTCACCTGCTGTAGCTTGGTCCCAGGGGACTAGCCCCTGGCACTAGCCCCTACAACATGGACGCCTTAGGAAGGAGCCCGAGGCAGCGACAAAGGGCCACACAGCCGCCCAGGCTGGCAAGAGGCTTCCTGCAGTTGAGTCTCCCACAGGCACAGCACAGCAGCCCCAGGCTCCCGCACGAGAGGGGAGGCAGCTACAAGTCGAGGAGCCGCTCCTCACACGTCTCCACGGGCCACTTGGAGGCCCCCCCGAACACGTCCACGTTGTTGTCCACCCACGGGATGATGTTGCCCGGCATGTTGGTGGAGCAGTTGGCGATGTTGATGATTTCCTGTGCCCGGAGGACGCGGTCCCATATGTTGAACTGGCTGAGCTCCCCCACGAACGCTTGCGTGGCGTCGAACCTGCCCCCCACAGTGTCCTGGAAACAGCAACAGAAAGTCTGCATCAAGACAAGGTCACAAACCAATGGGTCCTTCCACACTCCTGGTGAATGGGCCCCTGAGTCCTCTGCTGACCACCCCAGCTCAACTTCTGAAGGTTCATGGCATGTCACACTTGAGACGACTTTGCTCAGATCATGGAAACGGAGGCCAGGAAGCTTGGTCAGAGTCCCACTGGGGGCAAGGACTGGGCTCCTGGTTCCATGACTCCTGTGTGCCCGCTTCTGCTGACTGCCTTCATCAGGAGGTCTCAAGCACAGCCCATCCAGGTCTGTCCAGCAACTACCGCATCTGCCCAGACCCACCAATTGGCACCCCCAGTCCTCTCTCCAGACACAAGCTCCTGGAGGGCAGCCTCTGGGTCTTGCTTTCTCCTCAGCCTTAAAACCCCCTAGTCCCACCCTCCACTCCGGCCACCAGGCTTCAGTGCTCCTTGGCCGGTTCCAGGGCTGACACCCTAGACCGAGATGACACCAGCCCCCGGCATCCCGAGTCACTGCTGTACCAGGCAAGGCCAGATGACCAGAGACTCACAAGGAGTGGAGGCGGGAACAGGGACTCATGAGGAACCATGCCAGCTCTGAGCCCCTCAGATCAAAGGAGCTCAGCACCAAACGGGCCATCAGGGAGCTCGCTCACCCGAGCAAGGTGTCAGCCAGAGCGGCCAGGAGTGAGGGCCAACAGCAGTGATGAGGAGGGCAAGGGTGGACGGGGATGAGGGGTCTGAGTGCTGGTGGACAGTCTGACCCTTCCCTGTGGTGCGCACCTGCTCCTGCCCGAGGATCAGGACACCCCCTGGCTTGATGGGATGCCAGGGGGCTAGGTTCTCCCCGGTGCCGAGCTTCTCCCCATCTTGGAAAGCTTCCCACATGCCATCCCGCGTCGTCCATGTGACGCAGATGTGGTGCCATTTGCCGTCACTGACAAACAGGGGCAGCTGTGCGACCTGTGGGCGACAACACACAGGTGGGGTCCTGCCATGCCCTGCTCCTCCCACTGCCCCAGCTCCCCTTCCTTGCTCTGTGTGTGTGTGACAGGCGCTCAGAGGCAGGGCAGCCTCGACACGCACTGCACATCCTTCAGCTGAAGACTGGGCAGACTGCGGGGATCCCTCCCTCCCCCGTCCTGAGCACAGAACCTGAGGGGAATCCAGGGCTCCACTGGACTTCAGTCCTGCAGTCTGGGCTCCTTGGGCAGAGCCCCCAAGCTGCAGGGAGGCATTCAGGGATGTGTGTGTGTTGGGGCGAGAGTGTGTGTGCGTGCACACACACACATGCAGTGTTGGGAAGGGCACAAACTGCACACAGAAGTGCAGGAAGGCCTTGGAATTCCTGCCAAGGGGCTCCCACAGCCCTGCCAGCCCTTGACAGTCCTGTTGTCACTGCCGTCTCCTAGCAACCTGGAGTCTCCCTCCCAGGAATTCAATGTTAACAAGGTGTCCAAATTGGGAGGAAAACAAGCTTCTGGGTCCTCCCAAGTCCTGGTGTGTTGTTCAGGACAATTAAGCCTGAGCTCAGGGAAATAGCTGATGTTGGATGGAGGGAGGGCAGGCCCACACTGCAGCACTGGCAGCTTTAACTACCTGGGCCCAGGATGGTTCAGTGAAGTAGGCTTCTACCGAGGGGTCGGGGGCTCATGGGCCTCAAGAATGCTCTCTGTCCTGCCCAGCCCGACTTTAGGGACAAACTTCTGAAGTGGACCGCTGCAGGGGTCTAGGGAGGCTGAGGCTGAGTCCCTGGAAAACCACATTCATGAGCACCCACTGGAGAGGGCAAGGCCGGATGAGGGTCCAGAGGGCAGCTCAGCTGCGGCCTTGGGCATGTGCTGACTACTGAGCCGGAGCACTCAGCGGGGACTGGAGAAGTGAGGGGGCTATGGTACTGGTCACACAACTGCACAAGTCAGCCCAGAGTGGTTGGCTGAACCCTACATTGAAAAGGGAATCTTTTACCAAATATGAATTTAGTCTCAACTGACCTGACAACACCTTAGAAAAAGATCCTCACACAGGAAGCAGTCAACCCCAACCTTAACCAGTGTGGCTCTAGGAACAACCCTCCTGGGCCCTGGGAATCCTCACTGCACCTCCTGGCACAGACCCCTACACACACTCTGCCCCCACTTGGTCAGTCACAGCGGCTTGGATCCCTTCGAACCGCAGTTGCCTCCTGTACCCTGTTGGAACTGACTAGTAGTGGGATGCTGACCCCCAAGGACGCGGCCCCCACTCTGCACTATGGAGAGCCTGGACTTTGGGCTCAGCCTGCCCCAGCTGCCAGGTGCCCTCGGGCATGGCCACGACAGGGAGGGTGGCGGGTCAGAGGCCCTCACCTTGTCGTTGATGAGCAGCTCAATGGGGTTGTTGCCCCACTCGATGAGCACGATCTCATTGGCCTGCCCGGGCACCGCGTATGAGAACGGGGTGCCAATGCCAGGCGAGGCGCTGGAGCGCAGCCACAGGCAGATGGTGAAGGCGTACAGCTCAGGCAGTGTCTTCTTGATCTTGCCGTACAGGTAGTTTGTGCGGAGGGGGAGGGACACTTTGAACGCGTCCGGTGACTTAAACGCACTGTTGCCTGGACAGAGAGGAGACAGGCCGCCAGGGAGTTAGAGCACTCTGACCAGCACAGCTCACTGGGCCCCGGCTCGGGCAGTCCTCCCCAGGGCTGGACGACTCCCCCGCGCAGCGCATTGTTCAGTTCAGAGAGGAAACTTAACCCCTGGTAGGAGAGACAGACTTGGAATTGGTAGTAAGGAATGAGTGGAGGCCACGTCCTGACACCTGCTACCAAGGTGCAGAGGATGGAGCGAAGGCCTACCGAGCAAGGTAGTGTCTGAGAAGACCCACGGGCAAGACCTCCACACAGAATGAGGGCCCCGAGGAGGCCCAGGAAAGGACAGTTCTAGCAATACCTTGTGGACCACCCACCAGGCATGCTAGAGAACTCAGCTCTGCCTTTTAGGACAGGGAAACAGGCTCCTTCAGGAGACAATTCCAGGGACCAAACATTTCCTACGTTCATTGTCAGGTCCAACAAAAAAGTGTGAGAAAGCGACGGAGGGTGTGGGCCTTGTCTAGTTGCTTAAAAACTCCAGTTTGCCCCCACAGGCTTCACTGGTCAAGGAAGGTTCTGGAACCCACCGGGCACGGGAGGGAATAATGGTTGTGCAGACAGCTGGCCCTGGATAAGAACTTCTCTGCCAGCAGGTAAATCCACACCACTTCTCACACTTCTCACCCAGCCAACAGGGCCAGCTCCCAGACCGAAACCCAGCCGTGGCTTTTTGGTCTAAACTGACATGAACGGTCTGCTTCTGACCTGCCCCTCACGATCCAAGAGAAGATGGAGTTTCTTGACCATAAGGCACTGGGCCAGCCCCTGCCTCACCTGCTCCATGGAGCAGGAGCCGATGGATAAACCTCCCCCCATCATGTGCCCCCAAACTCGGTTGGTATCAGAGTAACACAGGGATCCTCCAAGGTCAGACCGCACCTGCTGAGGGCACCTGCCAGACCTCCCTCCTGACCTCTCCAGAACAGCAGTAGACAGCAGCAGGCTCCAGGCCACCCATACCTGCCAGGCCACAGTAAAGGCAGGGCTGCCTCCTCATTGGTGAAAGGGAAAATGAGAGGGCCAGAAAGCCCTGCTCCCCGGTTGCCCAGTTGGGGTGCTGTGGCTCAGAAAAATCATCTGACTCACACAAGCTCACCTAACTCGTGCATGCTGGGGGTGCATCTAGGTGGGAGGTGGCCCAGAAGCATGCAGCTGCTACAACTGGATCCTGATGAGGCATATGACCATGGTCTTAATGCAGGTATCATTATCTAATAAAAGAGAAATGGCGCTCTGTGCAGGAGGGCTGGCTCACCAATTTCATGAGACTCTGTGTAGGTAATACAGTTAGCCGGTGGCAGCAGACAGGCGTAATTACAGCTGGGAGAGCCCGGGGAGCCGGGGGAGAGGCCCACACCCTGAAAGCAGGTGCCCTTTATTTAACTAAAAACAGCCCAGGAGATTCAGAAGAAACTGAGTTAAAACCAATTAAGGAATTAAAAGTCCTGACCAATAAATCAGAAACTGCGGGTGGTAGACAAGGCTAAGGAGAGCAGGTGGGGTGCGGACAGCCCGGGGCCAACGAGAGAGGCGGCCCAGGCCGCTTGTGCCAGCACTCATTTCACGCTGCACTTGGCCAGCTGGCCCAGCTTCCAGAAGCCCATGCAGACAAGCAGACCTCACAACGGAGAAATCAGAGTATCCCTAGGACCTGGCTGGGAGGACCTGAGCATCCACAGGGTTGGGGCACAGGCTGCTAAGCTCCAGGGGGTGTTCTGCTCAGCAGGCCTGCGGCCCGCGCCCCTACCCTAATGCTGTAGCCTCCAGCACTCTTTTGGGGTCACAAACCATCAACTCCGATCATGCCAGCCAGACGAATGCAGGCATGGCTTAGCCCTCCGACTCCGGCACCACCCCACCCGTAGCTGACACCTGCGGTACAGGATTACCTCAGGGCTTCATGCTCTGATACAGAGTACGTAATCTGGGCACTTAACAGGTGGAGCAGGAAGGGCACCTAGGCCTGAGCCTCCAACCTCCCCACCCCCACACTTGCGGCACAGCTCAGTCTCCCTCCCCTGAGCTCAGCACCTCCAAGGGGTAAGCCGCCATTATCCTCTCCTGGCATTTTAGGGGCTGGGCATTTGCAGCTCCCATCACAGCTGTCACCAAGAGGTCAGAACTCGGAATCTCCCACAACCCAGTCTGCGAAGCCCACACTCCTTGAAGGCTCACCCAGATCTGAGCTGGTGCAGCACACTCCGGGTTTCCGGAGGTCCCGGGTGAGCTTGAGGGGGCAGGAGGTGCAGGGCCAGCAGAGTGAGACGCTGAGCTGTCTCTCTAGCCAGTCCTGAGGACACCGCGTGAATGAACGGCCTAGGACCTGGCCCTTGGTTGAGCTTCCCGCAGGGCTAGGCAAGCTCCAAGAGCTTTTGGTGAAACATTTTAGTTGGATGATGGACTCAGGCCGGCTGGGCCTGCTTCTAGTGCGAGCAGACAGGCTGGGGAAGGGAGGGTCGGTCCCAGTGTGGCATCGCCAGGGTGGTGTCCCTTCCCACGGCTCCCAAGTGACATACCTTCTCTCACCTGTGAAATGGGTGCCAGAGATGTCTGCTCTACCTAAGGAGACTTCACTGTGTCCAGGGAGGCACACGGCCCTGAGGCCTCTGGCAAAGCTCGCTCTCCTCCTCACCCCACAGCCTGAATCTTGGGCAGCAGCACGTCCATCCCACAGCCCTGAAGGGCCTCTCCATGCAGCTGCCGCTGGGCCAAGGGGCCCGACCCCCGGGACGTCACACGGCCGTCCCTCTTGGGCTCAGCGGCGGCTGCTCTGCCTTCAGAGAAGACCCTGGAGAGCTGGCGAGTCTCCTGACATCACCCGCAGCGTAGGCAGGGCAGAGAGCAGGCTGTTTTGGAAAATCAAAACTCTGGTTCTGCCAGCAAAGCCACACACACCCTTTACACAGAAGGGCGGGGAAGAAAAGGACGGACTTCTCCGGAGAGTAAAGGGATGGAGACAGCCTGCGACCCGTGGGACGAGTCCTCCTGCCAATGTCATTCAGGAGTCACCGGACATTCTGCTGGTGAACATCTGTCCCTCTCTGTTCATGAAACCAGGTGATCAGAAATTGCCTGGGAGTGCAGCTCAGGAGGTTGTCATCCTATCCCGGCCGGCCCCCAGCCACCTGGAGGCTGGTACCGTCATACAATTCCCCAGCACCCTGGATGCCACCTCCCCAGTTCCCGTGGGACAGACATGTCCCTGTTCCCCGAGCCCAGCCCCGCTGTGAGCAGAGCTGAGAAAGGCGCACAGCATCCTCCGCAAAGGCCAGTCAGAGGGCAGGCCAGAGGCCAGCCTGCTGACCCCAGCCAGCCCCAAGTTCATTTAGTTTTCCGTGGAACCGTCACCAGGGCCAGGGGCTAACTCCCAGACGTCCGTTAGCAGTCATTTTCAGGCTAACCACCCCACCATGCTTACCCATAAAACTGACATCTTGGGTCTCCCCGCTCCCCACCCCGAATGAGGAGCCCCAGGCCCCTGCCGGATGGAGACAGAGGTGACGCCGCCGCAGGTACCTCGCTCCAGCTCGGCCACCCTCTGCAGCAGCGCATTCAGGGCGCTCTCGGTCTTCTGCCGGTGGGCAGACGTCTCGTTGTGCAGCAGGGACTTCTCGTCCTCGAGCTCTGCCACCTTGCGCAGCAGCTGCTTCTCCAGCTCACCGAGCCGCAGCTGCAGCACCTCGCGGAAGTCACCAGGAAGCCCGCCGCTGGACACGTTCGCCCGGAGCTGGTGCTTTAGGCATAGGGAAGGGGGGCGGGGGCAGGAAAGGGGAGGCACTCAGATGGGCTCAACAGAAACGGCCACCTGAAGCTTCCATCACTTGGGGTAATAAACCCTACCACTGGCACAAAGTGGGCAGCACATCACAGGTGCCTCCCCTGGGCGGTACGCAAGGCAACCCACAGACAACCATCAGGCTGCACTAGCTGAAACTTGCAAATCTCATTCTCCCCTCTCCCAAAAGGCCGTTTTACCTCCTTTTACTCAAACAGTAAGAGCTTAACATCTAGAACGGGACCTCAGAAAAGGAGCAAAACACAGCAGGGATTCTCTCTTGAAGAGTTCATCAAGGCTATCTGGACGTGCCAACAGCAGCCAGGTTGCAGCATGGCACCAGGCGGAAGACCCACCGAGGTGTCACTAGAGAACGACTGACAGGAAACATTTCTCAGTTCCAGAAATGGTTAAAACGCTGCTGCTGCGTCCCCGCCTCCCGTTCCCCTTCGTCCTCTGCCCCCACGCCGACACTGCAGGCTCTTCCTGCCCAGGCACGGCGACCCAGGCAGGCTGTCCGTCCCTGTTCTCTCTGTCCAGGCTTCCAAACTGCAACATGCAGGTCGTGGCACTTGCTTCCATGCCATCAAGGGTTAAAACTCAGGTCACGGTCAGATATCACAGTAACTCAAGGATGCACAGGTGCTGGGAACGCAGGCATTTAGCCAACCACACACACACACACACACACGAACCCTAAAAAAAACACAGCAGGAACGACCACCTGTAATTCAAACCTCGTTCTACCAACAGGGATTTCGATCAGCGCTAAGTAGCATGCCCACACTTCCTGAGACGATAATTAACTGTAGACAGCTCAAACTTCCAGAGAGAGCACAGAACCAGGTCGCCTTCCCGCAGACGCCCGGGCAGAGCCTCCAAGGGCTGCGGAGGCAGAGGCGGCCGTCTTGGAAGTGAGCCGTGCTTCGGGGCGGCCGGTCCTCCCCGGGCTCCCCCAGGCCGGTCCTCCCCCGGTTCCCCCAGGCCGGACCCCGGCTCCCCCAGCCCGGTCCTCCCCCGGCTCCCCCAGCCCGGTCCTCCCCCGGCTCCCCAGGCCGGTCCTCCCCGGGCTCCCCAGGCCGGTCCTCCCCCGGCTCCCCCAGCCCGGTCCTCCCCCGGCTCCCCAGGCCGGCCCGACCCCGTTTACCAAAGGAAACCCCGGGCGTGCGGGCCGGAGCAATCCCGCACCGCTCGCCGCCACCCTGAGTTTCCCAAGAGGAAGAGAGCCTGCCCGCTCCCCGCATATTCCCCGCCCGGCTTGGTGGCCAAGGTTGGCCGGGCGGGACCCGCGGAAGACCAGGTGCCCGGGGCAGTCCCGGCGCGACGCCCACCAAAGCGCACCCCACAAGCCAGCTCAGCCCGCGGATGAGGAAGCAGCCTGTGCCCCCCAACCCGAGGGCGCCCCCTCCAGGCGCCATCCTCCCCGCACCCGGCGGGCTCCCGCACGGCGCCGCTACCTCGAGGCTCTCCAGTCGGTCCTTGAGGGTCTGCAGCGAGCGGCTGAGCTGCTCCACGACGTGACCGGGGTCCCGCGGCAAGTCACCCATGGTGTCCTTGCCCGCGGCCGCCGCGCCCCGGCCCTTGCCGCCCGCCAGCCCCTCGCAGCGGGCCAGCTTGCTCGTGAGCTCGCGGATGGCCTCGCGCTGAGCGCCCAGCGTCTCCTTCTGCTGCACGACGGTCTCCCTCAGTTGCAGCACTGCGGCCCGCAGCTCCTCCTCGGGGCTCAGCGCGCCGCCCTGCATGGGCATGGCGGGCAGCGGGCAGCCGGCACGCGCCGCCTCTGGGGGCAGCGCGGTGCACACGAATCGGCTGCCGGGCACCGGGTTGTCCTGGGCCCGGGCAGCCACGGCGAGCGCTACTCCAGCGGCCAAGAGAGCCAGCATCGCCGCCGCGCTCACTTCGGCCTCGGCCGGTGGCCGCCGTCGAAGGCCCCGCAGCCGCGTGGACGACGGCACGGCTGCCGCGCGTCGTTCGAGAAGCGCAGTTCGAGAAGCGCAGCTGCAGCCCCGCGCGGCGCTCTGCCTCGGCCCGGCCCGCGCGCCCTTTCTTAAGCAAGGGGCGGGGGCGCTGGCGCGTGGGGCGCGCGCCGCGAGCGCTCATTGGCCGAGCCGAGCGCGCGTCACCCGCGGTGGGCGGGGCGGGGAGATTCTCACGGAGCGCGAGGCGGCCGGGCGGGCGCGTGGGCCGGACCCTGAGGGCTGAGGCGAGGGTCCTGGGAGTTCCCGCACCCACGCAAAAAATATATATATTTATATATAGGGGGGTGGGGAGAGCCGAGGTAAAACGGCGACCTCGATGTCCCCCGGCGCCCCGCAGACCCCCAGCCGAAGACGCGGGCGTCACAGGCTGAGGAGAGGCTGAGCGCCCCTCCCGGGGGCGGCCGCGGGCTTCCGGCGCGCGAGGCCTCGCCGCAGCCCCGAGGAAAGTGTCATCTCCCCTCCCGCCCGTCCGCCCCCGCTTCAGGAGGAGAAGCCCCAGGCGGGACTCGATCCTGCGCCGCTGTGGGCAGCCGCCTCCGCGGCAGGCGTGGGCCTCTTCGTCAAGGCCCGGCCACCTCACTGTCGAGGCGGGAAGGAGCCGCACGACGGCCGCCTCCGGTCCCCGCGCCGCTCGGAGCCGCCCGGGAGGCATCCTCGGGTCCGCGCAGCACCGGGTGGATGCCGGGTGGAAGCAGGGTGCGCGCTGGGGCGCGGGAGGGGTGCCCGCGCCCACGACGGGCACCGGGAGCAGGAGGCAGGCGAGCTCTCCAGCAGCCGTGATCTGATGTGAGCGAGACCTGGCCGTGGCAAGTCGTACACACTGGCCCGAGCTTCGAGCGTCCACTGTCCCAATTTGAGGCCACCTGCCTGAGCTGCTTGGAGACAACAGATGATGTGCGGAAACCCCCAAAAGGATGCGGCAGTGTGCTGTCGTTTTCCAAGAGCTTCTCCATGCTTTACAAACAAGTTCAGATATTCTGTTGCACGGCTCCAGACTGAGCTGGTTTACTGTGCATTATGAGAGGAAATCTCTATATTTTTTTCTCTATGTTTTTAAAGAAAAACGGTTGCAAGGTCATTAATCACATTATCCATTATACCAGAAACAAATGGATTTGTCACTTGTGCACAGAGGCTGAGGTTGATGCGGAAAACAAATTTTATCAAAATAAATGAAATTATTATGATGATATGAAATAGACTACAGTGATTAATCTCTAGAAACGAAATTCTGACCTGCTTTACACTTCAAACAATAGCTTCTGTTATGTAAATAGTTGTGGGGTTTTCAAGGACAATGTTCTAAATTACAGGAAAAGTTCTATTCATGAAGCTCTCTTCATGGATAATAATTAGAGGCAGGAAACTCGCTCTACACGGTATCCTGAGCAGAGGACAATGGAAGCATTGATGATTCAGGTAAGACTGTTTCTTGGTAGAAAAAGTACAAGCTGGGAGCTGGCTAAGCTGTCTCTTGGTCTGCATCCCCACGAGTATCAGTTACCCTTATAAGTGTGACCTTGACTAGACTCATTCTATGCCCTTCTTGCTTCAGGTCCTTGAAAACTCCCAAATTCCAAAAAGCTTGAGTTGTAATACTGAATGCAACAAGATTGCAAAGCATTTGATAAAATAGTATGGTCTAGGTGATTCCAATAAGGCTTCAAATCAAGATGTGGTCAGAATTATCCATCTAAGGATGTGACTTGTCAACGTTCGTGCTTGTGTTGATGTTCTGTTACTCATAGATCTAGCTAGACCTTAACTGGATGTGACAATAGAATATTGTTGTTCCTCTGTTGTTCCATATATCCTTTCTTTATACAGACTAATACATTCAGATTTACAACAACTTGACACAGAGGCTTATTCCTTTAATAATTAAATAAGATCAAGTATATTTCGAGAATTCTAATTTCATTCCGAATAAAGAAACCAGTGTACAAGAAAAACAAAAATAGCACATAACCCAAAATAATTATTCTTCAATGTGTTAAAAAGATATCCCAGTATGAGAAATTATCAGTGAAATTGCCAAATCCCAGATGGACACACTCAACCATTTGAGAGGTTATTTTCTTCAGAGGCAAGAGTAATTAGAGCGCTTAGTTAACAGAGTATATGCCATTTGGGATTTCGTCTCCTTAGTGCAGCGGAAAATCTGTTGGCTTAGAAATGAGGAGTCTAAGTTCTAAGCCAGCCTGTCACTGGCTCAGTGTCTTTGGGCAAGTCATTTTCTCCTCTGTAGACTTCAGTTTCCTTGTATATGAGATAAATGGGTTAAGTTCAGCATTACAATTCTGGCTGTACTGGAGAGTTTGGTCATTTCGGAGAAAAGGAATGACTGTTTTAGAATCTTATTTTCTGTGTATGCCATGAGCCACCTGTGGCCAAGGATGAGTTGGGAAAGTCAGAGTGGTTTTGTAATACAGCAGGCAAATCTTTACACAAGGGAGTGCAGTTACTGTGGATGAAACCTGCTCTCAACATCATGAAAGCTCATCCTTGATTTACTCACAGCACAAAAACCTGTCTACCTGAAAGATCTAGCATGTGTGACTCATGCTCCCCATGAGAATTGCTATGTGAGTGGCAGAGACCAGGGCCCACAGCTTTTCCTCCACTTGAAAAGTCGTGCAGATTTGCAGCAATGAATCAGCGCCACCTAATCTCTTAGTGTAACCAAAGCTGCAGCATAGTAACCACCCACTCATTCGCTCTGTTGGGCCCAGGTCAGCTGAGAGCCCAGTATGGACTTACACCGTGTGCTGGGAATCCTGATGAGCCCATTCCGCCTCCATTTTATTGCCCCATCTGTTTGGTTCCCTTATACTTCTCACATGCATTTTTATCTTGGTCTTCTGGGAAATGTGATAATTTCCACCATTGGTGTCAAAGGATCCTATCTTATACTTCCTTACGTTTTCTCCCCTTTTTCTCAGTGCTACTTGGGAAGTCAAAGGGGGGGGGGGGGGAACGTGTGAGCTCTGTAACAGAATCCAAGGATCCAAGGACGGCTTCCTGCAACTATGACTCAGGAACTGTCCTCGGTGCTGAATTTCAATAGGAAAGGGAAGCAAGAGTGGTGAGTGTGTGTGTGTTGGATTTAGAGCAGATACAACAGAATTTGGTGGCTCCAGAGGATCTTGGCTAATCCTCTTGTGTATGAAATGCTAAGACCCTTTCAAGAGAGGAGTCTTTCACTAGACTAAACTGCATGGTAGAGTGGAAAGAGCTTAAACTCTGGAATCAGACAGCTTTCATTTCAGTCCCAGTTTTATAACATGTGATTTGACCTTGAAAGAATGAATCTCTCTGAGCCCCAGTTTTCTTATCTCTAAAATAAAGGCTAAATTTACTATTCAACACTGTTGTGAAGCTTAAACAAGATAATATGTGGAACATATTTTGCATATGGTAGGTGCACAATAGTTATTAATTGCTCCTTTCTTCATTGTTTTCCACTGAATTTAGAGTTGAATTATATGTCCTCTTGAAAAGCAAAGTTTCATTTTTTTCTTTATCTATTCAATAGCCTTTAGAATTAAATAGGCAAGTATTCTTGAGAAAAATAACTCCTTGAGAAGTTAACTCCTTGAATGAAAGACAAGGGGAAAGAACTCCCAGAAAATTTCCTGGTGTCTCAGTAAGATACCTTATGCTCTGGTTTTCTTTTAAGGTAAAGCATGATGTCATGGAATGTTAGTCGGAATATTGACTCAGACTGAACTGTCTCACATCTGCATGTAGGATAAGCACTAGATCATGTGCTTGAACCCAAGTAAAGGATTTGTAACACTGAACACATCAGTGATTCTGAGTTTGTATTACTGTGGTAGCCCAGTAGATAAACCCCTCAGAGAAAGCAAATGTTCTTCCATGCATCTGGGTTCTTACTAAATAACATGCTTCTGGTTTAATTTTGGGAGCATGTGATACGAGACACTGAGTTTCAGAAAGTGTTCCTGTACAAGGACAAGTATGATCACATGTGACTTGAAAGCTAAAATTTGTGGGAACTGATTGCTAATATGACCCAACTGATTCTCACAAACATAAAGGATGGTGGTGTTCTCTCATTTCAAGCAGTATACCAAATCTGATAAACCAGGAGTATTGTCTTAGCTTAATTTTTTAAATCGTTTATCAATCATGAAATTATCAACTTTTAAAAATTTTCAATGCAGAGACAGATCTCTTCCATCTTGTTTCACTCCCCAAATCTCCATAAGAGCCAGAGCTGGGCTAGGTTAAATTCAGGAGCTTAGAATTCAAACCAGGCTCGCACGTGTACATCAGGAACCCAGATACTCAAACCACCTGTTCCCTCCCCAGTGCGTGTTATCAAGAAACTGGAGTTAGAAGAGGAGCTAGATCTTGAACTTGGCACTTGAGTGTGGATGGAGATATTCTGTGCCATGTCTTAAAAAACTGCACTAGAGTCGGGTTCAATAGCCTAGTGGCTAAATCTTCACCTTGCATCCACAGGGATCCCATATAGGCACCAGTTCCTATCCCAGTTGCCCTGTTTCCCATCCAGCTCCCTGCTTGTGGCCTGGGAAAGCAGTTGAGGATGACCCAAAGCCTTGGGACCCTGCACCCGCGTGGGAGACCTGGAAGAAGCTCCTGGCTTCAGATCAGCTCAGCTCTGGCCATTGCGGCTACTTGGAAAGTGAACCAGCAGGTGAAACATCTTTCTCTCTGTCTCTCCTTCTCTTTGTAAATCTGCCTTTCTGATAAAAATAAGCAAGAAAACAAACAAAACAACAAAAACACTGCACTAAATGTCTGCCCTTAGCTCAGTTTTTAAAAATTAAAGATAGGAGCATAGCACAATGTCTCAGTTGACTGATCATCTTCCTTCAAGTGCCAGAATTCTATATGGGTACAGGTTTGTGTCCCAGCTGCTCCACTTCCCATCAAACTCCTTGCTTGTAGCCTGTGAA